GATGTTCTTATATACCATGTCGCAATCTTTGTCCATAACTTTATGGTTGCAATGATATCCTAGAAACTCATAGTTTACTTTACGTATGAACTTCTTTATTTCTACTGAGTCAGTTGCTTTGACTTCAATTTCATCGAATTCAGGAATAGTGAGCTTTTGTTGTTGGATTTCAGGCAATTTGGGTAAATGGTCAATAATGTCCTGCATGTCATAAAGATACTGTTCATTTGTTTCATCTTTCGCACTACAGTCTAAATTACTTGTTAAAAGTTCTTGCTTAATTCTTTGTATTTCTGTCTCAAAAGTATATGAAGAAGGAATGAAGCTTTTCATCTCTACTAACATAGATGTTGGATTCATAACTAAAGAGTTTGGTGAAGTTGTTGTTTGAAGTGTTGTAGAACCTATTGTTGAAATCATATCTTTACATACAAGATAAAAAATAAATAAAAATAAAACTAACTTTATTTTTTCTATCTTAAGGAAATTCATGAAAATTCACGAGACCCAAAGGGTCTGAGCCGCTAAGCGGTGAGGGTGAAAAAACAGGTGAGAAAACAGGTGAAATCTCACCTCTTCACCTAAAATATATTTTTGTCTGATTTACATCTAATGAAAAAGTTTAGAAGAATTTTCTTATTCTTTCTGGCATGTTTTTATCTTTCCAATACTCCCGCTCTAATGGTCCCAGATGTGTTGGCTTCGACTCTCTCAAGTTCTTAGATGGTATAACATCTTCAACGCCTCCTTCATATCTTACTTTATAAGTGTCATCGTTTATGTTATAGCCAAGTATTTCAATAACCACTCCTCGCTTTGCTTCGTCAATGGTTTCAGCAAGTTTGCCATTACTACTTTCGACTAATTTATGACGAGGATAAAACACAATAGAGTCGTCGGCAGCTTTTATAAGATATCCATTACCTTGCGTAGAGTCTACTATATAATAATTTCGACTTAACCTTAAACGTTTCTTTGTCAACGGTTTGTCGTCAAGAACTACACGAACTTTTGTACCAGGAATGAGGGTAAATTGTGTTGAATTTCTGATATTTTGTGTTTGGCTTCGTTTCTTTTGTATATACTTTTCTTCTTGTTGTTGTGTCATTGAATTTGGTGTATGTCCTGTTGTAGAATGTGTTGAGGAATTATATACTTCGAGAAAGTGTTTCATTGTTTCTTCGGTAAAGTCTCGCTCTTGGTTTAAATCTCTGAGCGTTCTTATGAAGCGGTTAATGATGCCGAGTATGTTATGGTTATGGTCTTCAGTAGTGTAGTGAGTTATGTTATGCTTAATGAGAAATTCTGTGATTTCATTGCTGAGGTATGCACTGTCTTGGTCTGATGTTAAAGTACTTGGGCTATGTTCTGCTACAAACTTTTGTAAAACTCTTAACACTTCACGAGTTCCTTTATTTTTCATTATATACGCAAAAGCTTTGCGAGTGTTAACATTAATGAAGATGAGGAATGGTTTATGTCCTCCTTTTCTGCTTTGAATGAGAGTGTCAAATTGGTATGCGTCAGGAGTGTTGGAGTAAATTGGTAAAAAGTAGTCGTAAGGGTTTATTTTTGTTTGATGTACAACATTTTTGTCAAAGAACTTTTTCACTTCAGCTCTGTTAGTAAATCCCCAACTTTTTGCTGCTTCATTGAACTTCTTAAATGACCTCCATGGATGTTGTTCGAATACTTCTTTCAAGCTCATTTATGTAAAGTTAAAGAGTTTAACCAACTCGTATCCAAGCGTGCATTGTTATATAAGGAGGCATATAATCTTTTCCATTACCTGCTGGGTCTGTAATACCAGCTACAACATGTGTATGATTTCCTGCAGTTCCACAGAAAATACCTGTGCTAACATCTTTGGGGTCATCTGAGATATCATATCTGTTCATTCCTGTCTATCCGAACCCGCTGCAAGATTTATATAACCTCTTTTTGTTATTGAATGTGAATGGTTTCTTCCACAGATGTTCTTCACTGAACCTATGCATATGTGAAGGAAGGTTTTCAATACCTATTTTCTTTGAACCTCCATCTTCATTGACTGCGTATTAGTGTAGAATGGAAAACTGTCAACTATTTCATACCATCTACCACCAAATAAAGTGTTTGGATTTATTGGATTCATAGACGTATAAACAGCTCCTATAGGATATATTAAATCATATATGCTCATAACTCTATAAACATATTCTAAAGAACTTATGTCATTAAATACCATTTGGAATGTATCTCCCGGATGAAATGTTGCATTTGTTCCACTTTTATAATGTAATGTTAGTTCAATAGAATTATCAAAGAAAAATTCAAAAGTATCTGGTTGAAGACCTCTAACAAATTCAAATGGAGTTGCTGGTTCACCATTTATAATTTCTGTTGTAAATGTCATTGTATCTGGTTTCGAAAATTTCTTTGTTAGTTCTGCATCCACATAAGTTTTGTCTGCTTTCTTATCTAACATTGCTGGTAGTTCATGTGCTTCAAAGTTTCTGGTATGACCTTCAATGTTCCTGCAACTGTTATCTAAATTGTTTAGTGTATCTTTTACGCTTGTACTTGGATTCTCTAAAGGTGCACTTGAACCAAGGGTATAGTTCAATATTATGTCGTCTGCTCTAACAGTAGTGAAGGATTCATGTGTATGGTTTTTGTCGGCTTTACTGTCTAATGTAGCTTGAAGTTCATTTATATCGGAGATGTTGTGTTTATGAGATTTCAAAACTTTGTTCGTTGCTTCGAGTTCAACTTTGTCAGCTTTACTTTTAATAGCATCTTCAAACGTTATTTTTGACTTAACTCTCAAAGTAAATCTTGGTTCAACTAATACACCGTTAACATTGAAAGTAGAGGCATAAATTTCATCGTTATAACTAAATGCTTCTGGTGTTTTACCCGTGTCATACTGTACAGTACAGCTTATGTCATAACCTTTAGCACGAATGTATTTATATCTTCTTTCATTAACATTTTTCGTCTTCACTTCTCCATCCTGTGTTAAATATCCATGATAGTCCGTTATAATCTGTTCATCTGAACTTATATAATGAACATGGTTCTTGTCCGCTTTACTATTTAATGTAGCTTGAAGTTCATTTATATCGGAGATATTGTGTTTATGTTCTTTATCTGCTTTTTCGGCTAATTTCTCTTCTATCTCATTTATTTCAAGTTCATGCCTACCACCACCTCCCGAAGAAGTATTTTTCTTCAGCTCTTGAAGAACGTCCACTTCGCCATCTTTGGTGTCAATAATGAGACTTTGAGTTAAAACCTTTCCTGTCTTAATGGATGTTTGTAAAACTTCTTCTTCACCGTGTTCGGGGTCATGGTCGTCATCATATCTTGTGAAATCAGAGATGTTGTCATACATTAAGCATATCTGTCTCAAAAGTTCTGCTATTTGAAACTGGAACGAAAGATATACAGAACTTTCATCATCTCCTAAAGTCAAGTCTGCTTTCTTAAGTATTTCTTGAATGTATGCAATGAGAACAGAGTACCTTGGAAAATATTCGAACAATATTTCATTAGCTGTTGGCTTTGGTGGTTCTTCTGGAGTTTCTGTTGTTTCAGTTCCTTCTGTAGGTTCTGTTGGAGTTTCTGCATCTCTTGACTTCAATGCTCTTGCTCTCAAAGACCTAAATGTTAGAGCACCAGGTTTTACAAAGGACTTTATAAATGCTTTAATAGTTCCTGGTAAGTTATTGTTAGCATTAAGTAAGTTCCTTATGCTTCCATCATGTACGTCCATAGCACTATGTAAAAAATCTATACTTTTCTTGTAGTCAGCAATAGACTGACTGTGATTTTTTAAAGATTTGTCAATACCTTTAAGCCAATCTTCATGCATGTCTGATACTGAGCCAAGAATATCATTTGCTTCCTTTAGTGTATTTTGTGCTTCTCGTAAAGTATCCAATCCCGTACGTGCATTGTTTGCTATACGTCTTACAGTATCTATTTGACTCCTTGTTTCTTGCATCCAACCAGATAAAGTTTTAATAGTATCCGAACCATTTGAAATGAAGTTCAAAGCATTTTTAACGTCATCTAAAACTTCTTCACCAAGTACTGCCCATATCTTTCCGATTTGGTATTGAAGAACTCCATATGAAGCAGCTGTTAAACCAGTATTTATAAGGTTCCATATCCATGATTTAGCAGTTTTTCCATCCTTTCCATCTTCACCATTCAAACCGTTTTCGCCTTGAGGTCCTTGTATTCCTTGTGGTCCTTGAGGTCCGGTGTCACCCTTCTCTCCTTTCAGTTCATCTTTATGTTCGTTATAATATTCTAATGTCATAAGGTGTACATCATTACTGCTACCAGCAACGCCGAGAATTTGTTTCTCATTCATGACTAAATTCTTTAGGCATTTAATGTTGTCGTCAAATCGAAACTCTTTAACAATTCAATGAGAACATTTAATACTTTCACTAATGAGGCATCTACTGTAGAATTTATATATTGCACCGTTCCATCATTTATGATGGGAACCTTGCTTGTTGTAATGAATGGGTCATAAGTGTTAAAAGTATCGAAATCAATGACTTTTTTAGTTTTTCCATCGTCAATGACTAAATCATTGCCTTCAATGGTTAAAGTTGAGTTTTCGTTTACTAGTTCATGTGCTCTTCTTGCTTCATTTGTTTCATACGCATATGCAGCAATAGTCATATTTTAATGAGAATAAAATGTTGTTCTATTTGCAAAGTACAGACCCAAACGAATACGGGACAGTAAAGCTACAAACAAACTTAGGTCTTCAGAATGAAGCGCTTGCTTTCAGAGTTGTTGACTTCAATACTATCGCAACTTTTGTCATAACAGATGAAACAGATTTCATAGAGATTGAAATAGATGACAAAAGAAGTGTTATAACATTTCCTAACAGAGCTGGGTATAGAATAGATAAAATTGCTGGAGTCATAGATACTCTCATAAATGAAGAAACTATTGACAACATAGATGTCGAACTCTCTTCTGAGGGAACATTGAAGTTCAGCAGCGAGAAAGAGTTTAAGATACCAAGAATGAGTCATAGAGTACAACTTCTTTTGGGTGCATACCATATGACATTTCCTTTGAAAAGTGTTGACAAAACGATTGAGATGAAATCTGTTCCATACGTATGTTATGGTAATTGTTTATACATTGAGTCTAAAATAGCTAATGTCACAGGCATTTCAGGAGTTAATAGTAAAGGTTCAGTAGAATATAAATCCTTCTGTTATGCAGTCAATTCAATGTTCATTCCAAACGTTCCTGTCATAGCAACTCATTTAGGTAAATGGGTTCGCATTAGTCCTCATAATTTGAAAGACATGCAATTCAGACTTGTTGACTTTCAAGGAGAGCCTGTAGAACTGAAGGCACCAGTGCGAATGACTGTTGAAGTTGACTTTTTAGAAAATATTAAATGCAACAGCTTACAAGAGAACTCAGAGCTAAAAATATAAAGTATGAATGTTATGTATTAGGTCATGAACTTTGGTTGTTGCTGTTTGATGAAACAAATGAGTTAGTTATGTCAGTCAAGAGAACAGAAAAATATTGTGTTAGTGAAAACTGCACCAAGTCAATAAGATTAGGTTTGCATTATGAAGATGAGTTCGATACTGTTGAAGAAGTTTTGGATAGATATTACAAATTGCTAACTTGAAATTTTTTGACTGACGGCGCAAAGCGCCAAGATGGGCTCAAAGAGCCCTCCTGACTGCTTTAATTTACTAAAACATATTTCAAACAAAGCTTATAGTCAGTAGATAGTTTTGTATACTCGTTCGAAAATTTATACTTAAACTCAACTCCTGTAGTTCCTGGTGTTTCAATGATGCGGATGTTACCTATTTTCATGAATAGTGGAGTTTGACCACAGCATTCGATTTCAGGGTCGAGATAGTCAATGACACATTGTTTCCCTGTTATTCGTGAGATAACATTTTCAAGGTCCTCCTTTGTTAGAATTATTTGGTTCTTGCTTATAAGATTTGTCAAAAGCTTCTTATCGTCTTTGAGTAAAATTGTTTGGTATAACTGAAGAAGGTAATGGTCTACGTTATCTGAAGGATTTGTTTGAACATTTGTGTAAGGGTTGTCGTTGGCTTCTCTTGAAAGAACTTGGTCCAGTGGTGGATACTCTAACTTAACATCTGATGTAGCGTTAGCGTTTGAAGCTGTGTTTAAATTCACCGACTTAAGATCTGGTTCTTTTTCTTTCAAACACTCCGAACTATAGTTCTTTATGACAATATTGTTTGTCGTTCGTGAGTCAACATTTGATGTTGGTTCAATTGGAACATTAACGGCACCAGCTAAGATGGATTTGCTTCTCATTTCATATAGAATAAAAACCTTTTATATGTATGAAATGAACAATATACTCGACAAGGGTTTGAATGTAAAGCTAACGAATGAAAATATTGTTGAATTCACTGAGACAGGAGCTGTGTATAAAGATGTAGAACTACTGAACAAAAGAGCTAAGGGAAGAAGCAGGAACATGAACAAAGGGTGGAAGCCTATAAAAATTTATGTCAATGATGGCTCAGGAGGTTCAAACATAAAGTATGCAGAAAGTTATAGAGTTTATGCTCTCAAAGGTGAAAAGCCTTCATTTAAGAACAGCTATTCTAACGCATATCCTCAAAAGCTAACGGATGGAGAAGTGGATGATATGAATGACAGCAAAAATATTAACAGAAATGGCGACAGAGATGCATGGAATTTGTTTACCATCAGTCAATTGAAGGTTAAACTTTAAAACAATGTTGGTCGTTCCCATGGAATATTTTTGACTTTAATGGTATTAGTCATGATATGAATCTCAAGGTATGAACGAGGAGAGATGAGAGACTTATATGCTTCCCAAATTTCTTCAAAAGGTAATGTTATACCTGACTGTTTCCAAATGAGTTCAATATCATAACGTGAGAAACCTTGAAAGATAACGAAGTCAGTTATGAGACGTTTTATGTTTAAAGCAAAAACGCCATGTTTGCATAAGTATTGCTACAGTTAAGTGGTAATGTCTGACTTTAGTTATGATGTTAGCTAATGGTGAGTCTGGTTTTGACACTAAACCTTTTCCGGCGAAGTCGTCACAAACGAGCAGAGTGTTTGAAGGATACTTTTTGAAGGGGTATTTTGAAAGTTTTGACAGAATGTAGTTTGTAAGTCGTTTCATATCGTAAACTCCTGAGTATTGACGTAAGTGGTGTTTGTCAATAATTCTTTCCATCTCCTCAGAAGTCTTTTGCATTCCTGACTGTATAAATTCAACGATGGCATAATATTTCCTCTTACGTCGAATGTAACGTTGAAGAAATTCAATGAGTTCACTGTCTGGAACTTTAACGACAGAGGCTTGAACTTTTGACATAAATGTTTTCGCTGTTGAATCCATAGAGTCTGAAGTTGCTGATATAATGATTTGGTCATAGTAAGAGTCGTTTCCTAAACGTTCTGTTATGAGTATATGACGAATGAGGTTGAATGTCTTCCTGAACCCATCTTTCCACAATAGAAATACACACCATTTGAACAGAATTCATAATCTTTGCTGAAAGGAAGAATAAGAGAAGAGTTAAGTTTGTCTGTAGTTTCATTCATGTCTTCATCTACATCATGTATTAAATGCTTCATTTTATCTCCATTAAAAATGCAAGTCAGAAATATTCAGAACATAGCACCGAGTCTAACTGACAAGAGTATAAATATACTATGAACATGTTATGATGAAACCAACCAAAATTCAAGAAAGTCAGTATACTTATGAATATCCAAGACACTGGGTAGAGTATGTAGGAGGTGAGAAAGCTATTGAAATCAGACAGGTTCGAAGTATTCCAGCAGGAAGAACAATATTATTGAAGAACTTTAATGTTTTGAGATATAATGATGAAACAAAGAAGCAAGATAGTTTCCCTGTTGCTGTGTATGTGAACCTAGACACAGGAGATGACATGAAAGTTTTTAACACAAAGCTTCAAACGGTAGTGAGAGAACAACTTACTGCGGAAGGACATCCATTACCTTCAGAAGTTACCATAGCATATAATTTTGAAACAAACTCAATAGATTTTAAAGTCATCTCTGCAAAGAAGTCAGGATTTACATTTAATGAAGCAGATGTATATTCGAATGAAAACTTCAAAGCTATTGCATGGTTAGATAATGACGATTGCTTTAAGAAAAATCTTTAAATTCAGTGACTCAAAGATGTCAATAGATGACCTTCGTGGAATGTTACCATCGACGTTTACAGTTGAAGGTTCAGCAGGATTGCTTACAAGTTTTTCAATTGGTGGCATTTGGTCTCGTGAGAACATTGTTATAAAATCCAGTATAAGTGAATTTGCTGAAGAATCTATATTATGTCTTTCAAACTATATGTATTCGCCGCCGAAGCATTATAGTATAACAAACTTTGTCAGTAAGTTTAACATAAGACTTGTCGAACCTTCTTCAATGAAAGATGTTGTGCTACCTAAAGATGGAAAGGATGGACTCATTATTGAGATGATTTTAATTGCATATTAAATGAGCTTGTTCTTGAAGGTCATTCATGATGAAATAACTGTTGTAGAAGATGTTAGCAATTGTTCAGACATTTTGAAGCGTATAGATGATATAAGAAAGAAGTTAGATAGACCGCAAAGTGGTGAGGGCGAAGCCCGTGAGAATGTTTATGTTTCATTGACTTTCTCCAGTAACGAGAACTTTTATGAGATAATATTGAAGAGAGATGATTTTAATATGGTGTAAATGGTAGCTTGGGCAGCTTTAGGCGCAATGGGAACAAAAGCATTAGCATTTGGAGCAAAAGCACTTGGAGCTTATGACGCAGTAAATAAAATGAGTGGAGGAAGGGTTTCGAAGACATTAGATGCAAATAAAGGAAAGATTGGAGGCTGGGTTGTAAAGAAGTTAAGATTAAATAAAATAGGGCTCATAAATAAAGCATCCAATTTGGTTGCGACTGAGTCAGAAAATGCTTTAGGAAAGGATGATGAGTTTGCAAAACATGTAAAAGACTTTAATGACCAGATGAAAGGTGAAACAATGCATTTAAATAGAGTCGATGGAACTAAAGAAAATGTTTCTTCTCCACCAGTAGTTCTTCCGTATGGTCCCTATGGAATGTATGGAAACCCTTATGAACGACCATTTGACCCATTGACTGGTGGAAGTAACTGGTATCATTACGGCCGAAGAAGAAAGACAGTCAAGTTGGAGACAGACGTGAAGAAAGCAACTAAAAAGAAACCAAGGAAGAGAGTTATAAAGCAATGAATTCAACAGGGTAAAAAACAGGTGAAAAACAGGTGAAAAAAGAGGTGAGATCTCACCACTTCACCTAAATTTATTTTTGCGCTATGTTTTCATACGTGTGAGGGTGGTGATATCATTAATTTTTAAGTTTATTTTTAAGTTTATTTTTTATTTTATTTTTATATAAATGACAGAACAAAAGCAACTCATTCGAATTCCACAGTATAACAAACATACATTTAAACATTTATTCTTCCTTCCTGAGCATAACATGTTCTTTCAAATACATCCGAGACCAGTTGACTTTTCATTGACTGTGTATAAAGATAGAAATAGTTATATCATTAAACCATACGATGACGAAGGTAAGTTATGTAAATTGTACGTTAAGAAGTTAGAGAAAGTTTATGGCTTCAAGTATGACTACAATAGGGTTAACACTGATGATGAAGATATTGAGGAAAATTTATGAGAACATTAGTGAAGTCGTTAGTGAGAACGATAGTGAGAACGTTTATTTTTTACATTAGTGAGTTCGTTAGTGAAGTGGTTGGCGGTTTTGTAAAGTGTCAAATTCACAAGTATTGGGTAAGGTGGAACGCAGTGCCGCCGTACCCAAGACTTGTATACTAACTTTCAAATTCAGACCACAGCAGTTCAAATTCAGAAGTTACAGATGAACCTCTCTCAGATGATTCTGATGATGATTTCGAGGTAAAGGCTAAAGGTAAAAAGAGTCCATATCCTATTCCAGAATTATCAGATGGATCTTTTGAGACACCAATAAGTTCAGAATCCGAGACTTTTGAAAATAAAAAAATTTCAAATGCTCCAAACGAGAAAAGTACTACAGACAAATCTGAATCAGACAATGACGAGGAACCTATATCGTCTGAAAGCGACGTTTACAAAGAAGTTGAAGAAGTTCAAAATTTCAAAGAAATTTCCAACCCTGCTATGCCCAAAAAGAATAATGTTGATAGCAATGATGACGATAGTTGGATCATACGTCCAAAAAAGGAAATACAGAAGAACAAACTTGAAATTATTGCTGAAAAATGCGAAAAGAGATTAAACAGAGTGAGAAATTTAAGTCAGGCTTTACCAAAATTTGATGAAGATGATTTGGAAAGTCCTTTGTCGGAAGATGACTAATTTATTATATTATTTTTTTTATTTTGGTTGAATTAAAGGTTATTTTTATATTCATTGGATTTTGTATAGAATTGTAATTATAGTTTGAATGGAAACAATAAAACATTATAGTGATATAAGACATCTTAGAAAAAAAATTGTAATTTGACTATTTCAATATCATAAACACATTTCTATAGGGTGTCCAAAGGTGTGTTTAGCACAAACCTGAATACTGCGAATAGAAATAAACAAGTTACATATATATAAAGTTTATTTAAATATAATCACCATTGGATTCAATCACGCGTTCGCAGCGATCGATCCAGGCTTGAAAGACACGCTTTAAATCATCATGAGAAAATTGCTCAAATTGCTCTCTTACAAAATTTTCAAGATCATCTGGACTCGCGAATTCGCGTCCTTCAGCTCTCTTTTTTAGCGTGCCGAATAAATAAAAGTCAGAGGGTGCAATATCAGGTGAATAAATTGGGTTTGGAACAACTTTGACATTGTTTTCCAACAAGTAATTCATTACCTTATGACTTTTGTGAACTCTTGAATTATCAAAATGAATTGCAAACTTTTGTTTTTGTTGTTTGGATTTCTTAAACTCATCAGAATTGATAATTTGAGTAAGAACATTGTCAATTAGATACTGAGCATTCATCGTATTAGGTTTTTGAAGAATATCAATTGCGATGATGTCATTCACGCCCCAAAAAACCGACAACATCATCATTGGTGTGTCAATTTTTTTCTTCGGGAATGTTTGCGGATTTTCATCCTTCGGGATCCACATGATTTTGGCTTCTGTTGCATATTGAAACCAAGACTCGTCCCCTGTTACTAAAAAGCGAAACTTCTTGGATTGATACGCACGCAATATAGAGAGGAGCTCTTTCGAAGATTGGACTCTAGATTTTTTTTGAACTGAATTAAGGTTGTGCGGAACCCAACGTGTATACGCTAGTTTGTAGTTCAAATAATTGTGCAGATAATAACTGACTGTTGTACGTGGTATCTTTGTCATCTCCTCTATCCTTCTGAGTGATGCTCTTGGGTCTTCATCTAGCACTTGAAGAATTGCTTTGATTTTTCTTTGATCCGGCGATTTTTTGTCAATTTTTATGATGGGCGCCTTTTTGTTCATGAAGTGATACATCCTAACATGATACGTTACAGTGGAATAGCTAGGAGCATCCATACCGAAGCATTTTACCAATGTCTCGTAGATTTTTTTACAGTCTTTGCATTTTTTTGCAAGAGCGAGGATGTTTTCTTTATGATTCATTAAAAAAATGAAAAAAATCCCGCCAAAATTTCCCGCGAAACCGCCTCTTGTCTCAAAATTCATTTTATATCCCGGCATGGCGCCAAAATACAACTTACTCATCATATACATATATTCATATTTTTTATTATATATTTATAATCAGCATATATCTCCTTTAATAGTCTCATATAGAGCGCTGTGCTAAACGCACCTTTGGACACCCTATATTGTTATAAAAGTCTTAAGTGCTTGTGATCAGACAAATCTGTTTTTCAATAAGACATCTTAGAAAAAAAATTGTAATTTGACTATTTCAATATCATAAACACATTTCTATTGTTATAAAAGTCTTAAGTGCTTGTGATCAGACAAATCTGTTTTTCAATAAGACATCTTAGAAAAAAAAATTGTAATTTGACTATTTCAATATCATAAACACATTTCTATTGTTATAAAAGTCTTAAGTGCTTGTGATCAGGCAAATCTGTTTTTCAATAAGACATCTTAGAAACAAACTTACTTAATTTTTGTTTATTCTATCATTCCCTTACTAAATAAATCTTTAACTTTCCTTCTAGTTATATTTATCTATTCATCATCAATTTATGTTTTTTAACTTTTTTTCATATATATTTTTTCTGAATACCTACTGTAATATATTTTTCATTTATTATTTATTCAATTGCTTTTCAATTTATTTTCAAAACCTTATTCAAATTTATTTTATCATTAATATATTTTTATATTATAAATTTATTTAAAACTTATTAAAACATGTTATTACGTTATTAATTTTTACTTTTTCATTTTTATACCCTTTTCAATTTTCTTCTCAAATTTTCAATGCTTCTCAAATATTTCTCCATTCAAATATATCTTTACTAAAAATTTCTTTTTAAAAATCACAAATTCACTTATATTCTTATACGAATCAATCTGTATCATATTACCAAACTTCACAAACACATCTAACTATTCAAATCGTTTCAAATTTAAAATCATATAAATTAATATTATGAATATCCTGTTCTTTTTCCGAATACCCTTTATTCCCACATTTCAATATATCTCTAAGTATGCAATAGTACCGATAAAACATTAATATCCCTGATATTTATAAAAATGTAATATCTGATCTTTTGATGATTATCGGTACATATATCAAAAAGATGCTACGAATAAGCATGAATTTCTGAATCAATTTTTAAATTTACACTTTCCAAATTATTCAAAAAATTTAAGAAAGCACGTATGGAATTATTTAAAGCGTGCTTGCACAATTCAACTCAGAGATTGCGATAAAAACGTTTACACACAATATTATATTAGTCCTCCCTATAAATTTCACAAAATTGATTCATCCGGCACCGAACATTCATATTCAATCGTTTACAAATGCGAAGGAAGCTGCAATTACAAAATAAAAGTGACACTGTACCCAAATCAAATTCCAAAAATCGAACCTCTCAGTGGTGAGCATTCATGCACACCAAAAGGTACAGTTTTTAGAGATATTGAAGAAGAAACAAAAATTAGGGATCTAATGCAAATTACACGTGAACACCATTCAATACAACCGTTAACTTCAGAAGCGCAAATATTATCATATTTACTTTCTGAGGCAACAAAACTTGAAAGGCCTCCAAAAATACCAGAAAATTTACCACGCACATTATACAAAGACTTTTATCCACATAATTTGGTTATTCCAGATTTTGTGGAACAAATTCTTTCAATTACCAAACAAAATTCCGAAAATCTTCTAAAATACATCGCGTTTTACCCAGAACCAATAATAATTTTCGGTTATGATCGTTCTGTCTCAATTTGTCACTCAGCAACAAAATTATTCTTGGACGGTACCTTTAAAATCGTCCCAAGACAGTTCGATGACAAGGGTCAACTCCTTACATTAATGGTGCTTGACCAAACAACGAATGAATACATTCCTGTTGTCCACATTCTTATGAAATCTCGGACAGCAGAAGCGTATACAACCGCATTTTCCGCATTAATTTCAATAATTGGGTTCAACAATTTCAAAACTGTTTACGTAGATTTTGAAATCGCACTTTACAAATCCATTAAATTATTTTGTCCAAACGCAAAGGTTACTGGCTGCTTATTTCATTATCGCCAAGCATTAATTCGCAAAATAAAAGAATTATACCCGAAACAAGAGATACCAAAAGAGATTTTTACACTTTACCAAATTTATTCCTCATTACCTTTCGTCGAAAAAGACTCATTTTATCAAATACTTAAATTAATCGATGAGTCATCCTCAGAAATTGCAAAGCCGTTCGTAAATTACTATAAAAAAGTATGGAAGAAAGATTATGAGTTCATTAACCAATTAGATTCAGAGGATGATATCTACACAAATAATGCTCTTGAATCCTTCCATTCTTTGCTTTCGAAAGAATTAGAAAATGCCCATCCTAGCCTCGAAATAATGATTGCAATCTTAATGAAAGTCGATAAACACTTGTTGGATAAACAATTACTCAGTACAAAACCAGCAAAACATCCTGTCAATTATACAAAGTCCACAGCAAATATTAAAAAAGCAATTACAAATTATTTATCCGAAACAAATCGAAATTCCAAGAAAATCAAATCAAACTTAAAGAATTTCAACAGTCAAATCAAGTAAACGAGAATTCAATCGACTTTACACCAGAAACAGGTGAGTTTTCTCAAAATGATGAGAAGATTCTCAATGAAATCCCAAATGACCAGAATAAAGTGGTTAATCAAGTGATCAAATCAATGGCAAATCCATCAAATTACAAATTCGATAAAACATTACTCACCGAGAATTTATTCTCAATCGAACAAAAGGGAATCACGAAAATTAACCGAACCAAATTTCCAAAACAAAGAAGTAATCGTTGTCTTACAAGAAAAAAGAACATACAAAAGCCTAATGGTGATCTTGGTGAAAAATTTTCGAAAATTACTCGCAAAACAAGCAAAATTGAGAAGGCTCATTCAAATTCAGACCACAGCAGTTCAAATTCAGAAGTTACAGATGAACCTCTCTCAGATGATTCTGATGATGATTTCGAGGTAAAGGCTAAAGGTAAAAAGAGTCCATATCCTATTCCAGAATTATCAGATGGATCTTTTGAGACACCAATAAGTTCAGAATCCGAGACTTTTGAAAATAAAAAAATTTCAAATGCTCCAAACGAGAAAAGTACTACAGACAAATCTGAATCAGACAATGACGAGGAACCTATATCGTCTGAAAGCGACGTTTACAAAGAAGTTGAAGAAGTTCAAAATTTCAAAGAAATTTCCAACCCTGCTATGCCCAAAAAGAATAATGTTGATAGCGATGATGACGATAGTTGGATCATACGTCCAAAAAAGGAAATACAGAAGAACAAACTTGAAATTATTGCTGAAAAATGCGAAAAGAGATTAAACAGAGTGAGAAATTTAAGTCAGGCTTTACCAAAATTTGATGAAGATGATTTGGAAAGTCCTTTGTCGGAAGATGACTAATTTATTATATTATTTTTTTATTTTGGTTGAATTAAAGGTTATTTTTATATTCATTGGATTTTGTATAGAATTGTAATTATAGTTTGAATGGAAACAATAAAACATTATAGTGATATAAGACATCTTAGAAAAAAAAATTGTAATTTGACTATTTCAATATCATAAACACATTTCTATTGTTATAAAAGTCTTAAGTGCTTGTGATCAGACAAATCTGTTTTTCAATAAGACATCTTAGAAAAAAAAATTGTAATTTGACTATTTCAATATCATAAACACATTTCTATTGTTATAAAAGTCTTAAGTGCTTGTGATCAGACAAATCTGTTTTTCAATAAGACATCTTAGAAAAAAAATTGTAATTTGACTATTTCAATATCATAAACACATTTCTATTGTTATAAAAGTCTTAAGTGCTTGTGATCAGACAAATCTGTTTTTCAATAAGACATCTTAGAAAAAAAAATTGTAATTTGACTATTTCAATATCATAAACACATTTCTATTGTTATAAAAGTCTTAAGTGCTTGTGATCAGACAAATCTGTTTTTCAATAAGACATCTTAGAAAAAAAAATTGTAATTTGACTATTTCAATATCATAAACACATTTCTATTGTTATAAAAGTCTTAAGTGCTTGTGATCAGACAAATCTGTTTTTCAATAAGACATCTTAGAAAAAAAATTGTAATTTGACTATTTCAATATCATAAACACATTTCTATTGTTATAAAAGTCTTAAGTGCTTGTGATCAGACAAATCTGTTTTTCAATAAGACATTCTGATTCAAAACTTTAAATTATATCTCTACCTTATATCAATATCTCTTTTACATATAATATTAAAGCAAACAATGCCTTCCCTACTTAATTTTACTATTTTATTTTCAATTAATTTCATATTCTTTTATCTTTCACCTTTCTCAATATTTCTAAACGCAACTTCACAGTACATTACATTTAACCACCACTTTCTTTTTATCATAAATTTATTTTTTTAATCTTTATCTTTTTTATTTCTTTATTATTTTCTTCTTCATCTAATATCTTATTTCATCTTTCACCATCTTTTTAATATTACCTATTGTTAACTCTTTATAATAATCTCATTCTGCAATTTTCATAAATACATTTTCATATAAAATCTTCTCAATTCATTTCAAACACATTCAAAAATAAAATTGTGAAATATTAATATACTATATAAAACTAATATTTTATAATTCATTATTTTTTTGAATACTTCTCAATTTTTTCTTATTCAATTTTTACTAAATAATTTCTCATTTTCTTTTTATTCTTATTCATTCTACATGCTGTTACTAGTTTACATATCATTAGCCGAAAAAATAATCATATAACAATCTTACCACATGTTAAATTTTTGATACATATGATTATTTTGAAATTTAAGAAATCGATTTCAAACATTCTAATAATGTCATAATGCAATCAGACAAATCCCAATTATTATAAACACTATAACATCGATTTTGACTTTAATTTTGAAATCGATAAAATATCTAGAAGATAAAAACTCATATATTTTGAGTGTAAACCTATTCAATTGTATTTTACTAAAGGATATAGATTCATTCACGAACTTAAATAAGTGTTCACTACATTAAATTCTCATTATTTAAAATCTGATTATTTGGCTTGTTCTTTAAAATCAAGTTTAAAGCCTACCATAGTGTGACAGGTACATTGCTAGAGACTATACTACAAGTTGGGCTATTTTAATTATAAATTAAAATAATAATTTGCATTCGCATTACACATCCTAAGTCCAAATCAAACTTGACCGATATGTAATGATAGCTAATAATATATACTTCAATGCTATATAAATGAATACCCTTAGAAACAAATATAAAGAAAGATATGAATTTTTTAAATTTTCACTTCACCTAAAATCATTCTGATCCGTAAAGTATTGAAATCTATCCCGATTAATCGGGATAAAATTGAATGAGTTGATCCCAATTTCCCGATCAATCCCGATGCCAAAAGATAAGTCATTCTTTTCTCATAAATTAAAAAAAGTCACCTCACATGGCTCGGAGAGCCCACTAAAGACCAGCTTCGAAATGCTATAAAGTTCACTTTTCCGAAGGAAATACTTCGTATCTGAAGGCCGGAATAAGGCAATCATTATCTATAGCCAGAGCAGAATCAAAATCTCACAAGTTGCTAAAGATAGGATTTTTCCGGAAAATGCAAGATAATTGCAAATTTCATGAAAAAGACCTCTTTTCATAAACTTGCTTAAAAATTAACTTACTTGTATATGTGGTATTTTAAAGGTTAAGAGAAAGTTTAGATAAGTATACTATTTAGGCACCTGAGTACCCTCTAAGTTTGGGGAAATTGAGAGGATCAGTTCACTTGAGAATACCCCCTTAATTTAAATTCAGATGATCTAAAAATTTAATTTCTCAATTGCGCTTATTTTAAGAAAAACCTATTTGCTATCGCTTATTAGTGTAAACTTAACATTTATTTTTTTTGTTGTAAAGATTTTATATATGAACGGTTATCACCTCATTTGAAGAATGTCTTTTACTCAAACTGATGACATGAGAGCTGCCAAGGATCAATTACTGAAAGAACTTATTAGGAATTCGCCAAAAAAATATAAAGCTGTCATCATTTCGACAGAAGATTACGATAAATTAGACGCTAACGAATCTGAAGTATTACCCGAATCACCAAAGAGAGATAACATGAGTCAAAACATATTGAAGCATCATTCTCATCCTAAACATCATCATCATAGTTCACCAAAAGAAAACTCACGCGTAATTTGTAGTCGTTGCGCACGCGAACTATCAAGAGACCATGTATCTCGTATAAACAAGACTCCAAGACATCATCACAGATGTTACGCCCCTCCAAAATATTCTCAAACGGATCCAAAAATCCAACAATTAATTGAGCGCAGAATTCAAAAGGCAAGAATGCAACAAGCCATGGAGCAGCGTAGACTTGAAGCTGAAGCAATTGCAAGAGCTCGGGCGCAATATGAATTTGAAAGAAAACAAAAAGTACAAACTATCCTTGAAGAAGTCAGAATGAGGAAAGAGCTTGAGAAAATGAATCAAGAAGATGAAATGGAAGGAGATTATTCTGATTATTATGATGAAAACAATGATTATTCCGATTATGCATATTCTGACAATGAAGAAAACGAGGATGATGATGGAGTTGTTGAAAGTTTACAGAAGATTGCTGAAAACCTTCAAAAAGCTTCTCAGCAACTCACAAACATTGTTTCCAACAGCATGTCTCCAAAAAAAGGTTCTCCTGCTCGTAAAAGTAATTATTAGTTAATTTTTAATAAATATTAATACGTTTCTTTAAAGCTTTAATCTCAAATTCTAATTTTAATTTTAAAATAATTGGTATAATAACTATGGATTTATGATGATTGGTTAAAATTGTATGTGAAAAAAGATAATTTCCAATAAATGATAAGATTCTTTCTAGAGATATAAGTTCTGAAAATTGACAAATCCGTTATTTTAGAAATGGAGAATCCGGCGGAAGTGCAGGAGCTTAGAAACAAACTTCGCATGATGAAGTTCCCCCAAGACGAAATACTTAATACAGTTCGTAAGCAACAGCGTGCAATTCATAAGCAAAAGCAAGCCAATGAAACCATTCGTGCAGAGAACCAGGAATTGCAAGCGCAAATCGATGCCTATGATCAAGCCGTTGCTGCCCATGATAGTAATGAAGATCTCAACCAACTTAAGAATACTGAAAAAAGCCTTTCAAACAAATTGAGTGTATTATCAGCTGACTATGCTGCCGAGGACCAAAAGCGTCGCGAACTTGAAGATAGAGTCTCCAAAGCTAGGTCTGCTGTTGGAGGAATGTATGCTCAATCAAGAGAAATTGAGGAAGCACAAGCTAAGATCCGTACCATGGAAAATCGTCTCGATAAGTCTCTTGTTCGCTACAACAATAACCTTACACAACTTGCTGATAAGCGTAATCAAATTGATGAATTAAGAAAAGATCGTACAACATTCCGTCAAGTTATTGAAAAGTCCAAGGCTGAATGTGCTGCTCTTGCTGCAACTATTGAAGACCAAATCAGGACATCAAACGACTCTTACTCTCAGAGAGATAATCTTAAGATGTGCATTGCAGAATTAAAGAATAATGAAGCAGCTGAAATCCAACACTTTGAAAGCGATATGGATCGTCTAACTCAAACAATTGAGGGTCAAAGAATCGCTTCAAATAGGCCTCATGAACAATTGCAATCTGTCCCAACAATTATTTCACAAAGCGGTACATCAGAAGCGCAAGATGAAATTACCAAGCAAACAGAAGAGTATCAAGCCCAAATTTCTAAAACTCTTGAACTTCTTAACATGAAATCAACAGAAGAACTCTTCCAAGAAGCAGAAAATCTGGAGAGAGAAAATTTCTCACTCTTTAATTTTGTTGTTGAACATGGAGCTACTCGTACACGCCTTACAGATGAAATTTCTGCCCTTGAGATGCAGCATGATGTTATTTTGTCAAATTCACAAAGCAACGATGAATCACAGGCACGTGAACTCGAAGAAATTACAAACGATATCGAAGACACAAAGGCCCAGCTTGACGATCTGGCCAAACAAAAGCAAGAATCAGAAGATGCTTTCAAAGTTAACTATCAGAAAATTGATGAACTTTACCAACTTCTTGGTTGTTCATGGGAGAAGTCGCCAGATGAAAAAACTAATGTCACTTCTGCAAATGTCATGTTTGCACTTACAAATATTGAAACTGCCATTATAGAGATAATGGACAAAGTAAGTGCTAAAGCTAAATCTGCATTCGATGTTCAACCAGAATCCCGCTCTCAAGCTGGACTAGATTCATATAAGCCAGAAAAAGAAAAGAAACACGTTTTAGAACGAATTGATGACAATGCTTTGAAGACCTTAGAATCTTGTAGCGAGCCATTATCCCTTGATGATGTTAGGAAACTCATTAAAGAACCTTCTAATACCACAACTAATAATAATACAATAACTTCCGAAACACAGCCATCTCAACAACAACAATAGGGAAATATTTTGATTGATTTTATTTAAATAAACTTTTTTTATTCAATTTTTAAGGCTTATTCAAAATTTAAATGGAGTTTGATACGTGGTTTGATGGTAGAATCTATCATACCACTAAATTTTAATTTGCCAAAGTTAAAAGAGCAAGTTTTTGAAATTCCTAAAAAGAAATTCTTATCGTGAGATATTGAAAAAGTTGCACGAAATTTATCTGCACGTTTAAATTGATCAATGTAAATACAAAATTGTGTGTCGTTTGATAATCCGTAATTATAAATTTCATCAATAATTATTCCCAACTTATAGTGCTTGAAAATTATTGTACTGCATCTGACTGATAAAGATGATGTTAATGAATTATTTGAATATTTGCATCCTATCTCATTCTGAAGTAAATTATCGTAATTAAATTTGTAACTCATCTTTAATGCATTAGAAATTGAGTTTTTAGGGATATTGTAGTTCATCTTTAGCTTGGAAAGTAGTTTATTTTGATTATTGCAATGGAATTTGAATTTCAAATCTTTTGAATTCGAGAATTGAAAAGCAATTGAATATTGAGCCTTAAGTATTGAAAAATACGGGGTTTTCAATCCAAATTTGAACAAATTTTTCTTCGAATCTGCTTTAGCCAAGAATTTGAAATTTCCATTTGAGTGATACTTGCATAATATCAATCCCGGAACAGGAATAAATGATATTTTGCAATTATCATCGACAAATTGAACTTTAAGATCTAGTTGCTGCAAATTGCTAATAGAAAAAAAATTGTATAGGGTTTGATCTCTTTTTTCATATGAAGAGTGTATTTATTTAGTGAGGAACTAAATAAATTTGCAGCCAATAAATATAAATATAAATATAAATATAAATATAAATATAAATATAAATATAAATATAAATAAAATATAAATATAAATATAAATATAAATATAAATATAAATATAAAATAAATATAAATATAAATATAAATATAAATATAAATATAAATAAAATAAAATAAATATAAATATAAATATAAATATAAATATAAATATAAATATAAATATAAATATAAATATAAATATAAATAAAATATAAATATAAATATAAATATAAATATAAATATAAATATAAATATAAATATAAATATAAATATAAATATAAATATAATATAAATATAATATAAATATAAAATATAAATATAAATATAAATATAAATATAAATATAAATATAAAATATAAATATAAATATAAATATAAATATAAATATAAATATAAATATAAATATAAATATAAATATAAATATAAATATAAATATAATATAAATATAAATATAAATATAAATTATAAATATAAATATAAATATAAATATAAATAAAATATAAATATAAATATAAATATAAATATAAATATAAATATAAATATAAATATAAATATAAATATAAATATAAATATAAATATAAATATAAATATAAATATAAATATATATAAATATAAATATAAATATAAATATAAATATAAATATAATATAAATATAAATATAAATATAAATATAAAATAAATATAAATATAAATATAAATATAAATATAAATATAAATATAAATATAAATATAAATATAAATATAAATATAAATATAAATATAAATGCAGATTCGAAGAAAAATTTGTTCAAATTTGGATTGAAAACCCCGTATTTTTCAATACTTAAGGCTCAATATTCAATTGCTTTTCAATTCTCGAATTCAAAAGATTTGAAATTCAAATTCCATTGCAATAATCAAAATAAACTACTTTCCAAGCTAAAGATGAACTACAATATCCCTAAAAACTCAATTTCTAATGCATTAAAGATGAGTTACAAATTTAATTACGATAATTTACTTCAGAATGAGATAGGATGCAAATATTCAAATAATTCATTAACATCATCTTTATCAGTCAGATGCAGTACAATAATTTTCAAGCACTATAAGTTGGGAATAATTATTGATGAAATTTATAATTACGGATTATCAAACGACACACAATTTTGTATTTACATTGATCAATCTTAAAATACTTAAAACAACACCAAATTAAAATAGCAATTGTCACAAGTAATACCCGAAAAATTGCAGAAGCATTGATACATATACACCATTTAGAGGAATTTAATATCCAAATTTTCGCATCTTCAGAGGTAACAAAAGCTAAACCAGAACCAGATGTTTATCTATGGGCTGTTATATATATTTTCTATTGAGTAAATTTTGTGTTTAAAGCTCCAATCATGAGATATTTAAAGTTTTTTACCCTATCAAACGCATAATTCACATATTTATCATAGGAGGGAAAACCAAAAGCTTTCATATATGATAATGAAATTATGGCACACATATACTACTACAAATGAGTTTTGTATCCATATAATTTTTCTCAAAAGATATCAACAATATGACGAGATAATAGCATTTTATTTTTGGTCATTCACTTCACTTTCCGCCACCCTTAATATAAAATAAACTAAACGGAATAAGATTGATTATATAAGCTTATATATGTACATGAAGTATATATATATAGTAAATAAATGAGCCTTTACCATTTAGATGGATAAGATTTTTGATAAAGCTCTCAGAAAAAAATTGAGAATTTTTAATCCTCGTAGTGCACCATTAATATGTTCAAATTTTATTCTGAAACTTCATTGAAATACCGAAAAACAAAGTTTGGTAAGGCAACAACAGCTGAAAACAATAACAATCCTCCGGTAGATTTGTTAATACAATATTTGCCACTGATCATTGGTTGAGCCAGGATGATTCCAGCAATAATTAACCCGAAATATGAATAGTTGAATTGGATATTTTGAGATAGGAAGTATAAGATTAATCCTGAAATAGAAGCTCTCATTACCCACTTAAATATTGTCGGGATAATTGAGAAATTATTTGCGATTGCATCACGTGTTGTTACAAAGCCTGAAATAGCGGATCCAATCTTGTAATCGTATAACGAAACAGGCAAGATAAGTCCATTCATTGCTTTGCCAATTACTGTAACTTGCTCTGGAGCCCAATATTCGAACCAGACACGTCTATCACCAGGTTCGCACCATTCTGAATAACCTCTAGAACCAAGATCGAAAAATTGCCCTACCTTTAATAATGTTTCAAGGTAGCCATCTTTGTAAGTCGAATAGAAAATTCCTCTTCCGGCGAATTGAAACTGCTTTGCATAAGGAGAATTTTGGAATTGAACAATCTGCTGATTGTGTGGATGAAGAGTGTCAGTACTTCCAGAATATGATAATGAATCTGAAAGGAAAAAGGTTCCAGCTTTCATCTGGTTATGGAAAGATCTTTCTGGAATTATCTCAACGGATGGATTATGATAAGTGGGATTATGGAAAAATAATGAGTTGATTGGCCTGTGGGTCCACATTTTATGGTATGTATAGGAATAATGTGTGACATTATTGATTGTTTCTGAATGCTCAAGTTCGGTCCACATACAATATTGAACTTTTCTGGTTAATTCTCCACAATATTCGGCTAATCCAAAGTCGGGATCTTGTACCAAATTATAGAGGGTGTCTTTGGTATTGAAAATTACTAATTGGCCGTTTGGAATGGAGCTTGGATCTGCGTTATCCGAAATTTGATGAACTTGCTTAGTTATTTCATTGATAATGACAGTTCTTTTGGAGCACATGAATTCTGCAAAAATACATGAAGTAGTATATACGAAAAGTATTAAAGCAGAAATGACTTTGTCCCTTGTGTTATTCATTTGAAAGATGAAGTGTAATTTTACCTTCAATATATGCAAATTTTGAATTGAAAAAGTTTGGTCTGTATAATATAAGATATTGTTGAAATACAATCATTAATGTTTCCCGTTAAATTGATATAAGCTCAAATTAGATCTCAATCATAAAAAATCCAAGATCGATCATGATAAAATTTTGACAAAATGAAAATTTAAAACTTCTAAATTTCTGACAATCATACATCCACAAAACCGAATACGTGATGGCAATCATTATTCAACCTGAAATGCTAAAGATAAAAGGTATATAGATAAGGAGGAATAAGTAGTATATGAGAGCGGGTTGTGTGACTTTTATTGCTGCATCTATATATAGACGATGCATTAAAATATATTTATTTATAAATCATTTTAAAAAAATTGACATTAATTTTAAAATAATTTATTTTTTATCTTTTACAAAAGAAGCTATATATAGATGATGTCAGATATTCCGCGATTAATTAAACATTGTTTAAATCCTGAATGGGTTAAACTTCAATGGAGTCATAAACAAAGACCTCATAAACGAGAGAAAAAGAAATTAGAAACTAATGATTAAATGAATTTATGAAATTAATTATTTGATTCATTCTTTCTTCAATCTCTTCTATTCTTTTTGTTAAATCATCAATTTTCATTAATGAGGTGATTCGTGATTGCGGAATAGATTTCAAACTAACCACCCCTTTTATTTTTGAAATTTTGAATCCATCAACTTTAAACATTTTATTCAATTTACACGTTGTCAATTCTTCAAATAATTTTTTATTATTGGTATAATAGTCATTAAATTCTTCAACAGATGAAAAATACTTTATTTCAGTAATTGGTTTAACAACGTTTATTTTTTGTTGAACATTAACACTTTCATTTATTTCTTCCTCCTCTGTTCCATTTATTTTTAAAATCGGTTTCATTTATCATTAAATAAAAATTAGAATATAAGTGATGAAATATATTTTTTAATTAACATTAAATCAGAGATGGCGGCAGGATTCTTTAAAAAATTATGGGATGGAATTAAGAAAGCTGCGGGTTGGGTTTATAAAAAGGTTATTAAACCTGTTGCAAACTTTTTGGCACCAGTAGCGAAAACGGCAGGAACAATCATAGGTGGAGTATTAGGTACTAAAGCAGGTAACCCGGCGATGGGAGCACAAGCGGGTAACGCAATTGGTGGAATTGCTGAATCAATACTTAATAAAATAGGGGGTAGATAGTGGAAAAATAAATAAATATATTTTTATCTTAGTATCGGTTGTAGTCTTTGATAAACTTTTTCTCCTTTATTTAAAACTTCTCTTATTGGGGCAGCTTTTGGCGTTATTGATTCAGCAACGTCGCTAATTGCTTCTTTATTCTTAAATATCCAATTTGCTCCCTTCTTCAATGTTTCCCAAACTTTACTCGCTCCTCTTTTTACTCTATCCCACAATTTCTTAAATATACCTGCAGCCATAGTTGATTATTTCATTAAAATTAAAAAATTCATTTTCATCTTTTAATTTTAATTTTTTAATTTATTAATAAATGACGACTAACTATTTGATGTCAAACACTAAACCAATTAATGGAAATGTGTTTCATTCATTCGAAAAGATAAATGAAATATTCGCAAAGAATGACGGTAGAAGATATTATAGAGAACTTGAAAGTTCATGCTATGACTCTGATACTCCATATTTTGATGATAAACAAACTCATTTAAGAATTACGAACCCAGCTCATGATGTGAACCAATTAGGTGACACATATATTAAACGCAAAGTTAAAGTAACTCTAGTTTCAAATAAAGCTTTCACATGTGATGCCGCTTTTAAATGCATGCGTTTATTCGTTGGTTACAAATCATCAAATCAAAGCTTTAAACAATTAGAAGTAGAAACTGAAAGAGGTGACGCTGGTTATCTTCAGATGGATTGCGCCCGTGAATCTTTCGCATTTGCAACATATAAACCAAAATCAGAAAGGAAAGTTAAAAAGTTTGTTCATTCGTTATATAATAATGTTCAAAAATATGATAACTCAGTATGTGGTAAATATATTGACCCTTCAGAAGTTTTCAAGAAAGCAAATGAAGAAGTTGATGTCACTTTTGATATGATTATTCCGGTAAATGATTTGTTAGCATTTCAGGCGTTCGATGATTATCCAAAATCATTTGGCGATATCATTCTTAAATATTATGTTTTCAGGGATACTTTGGTATTTTGTCAGGTTGACCCGTTAAGAGTTGCTGATTTACAAAATTACGTTTATGAAAAGATAACTGATGAAAATTATGAAAAGATTATGAATCATGTTTATAAATATGATCGCAAATTCCAACAAATCGGACTTCCTACCAAATTAATTACAGGCTTAGCCGCTACATCTGCTGACGCAACAGTTGAAAGTGTTATTATTTCATGCACGAAGATGGAAGTTTTAGAGGATAAATGCATTACACCAGGATATGGTTTAATTGAAGAATCAGTTAAAGCAATACCACGTTTATTCAGTAAGGAAGATCCATTCATGATTCCAGCTCAACATATTGACGTTCGTTCACTAAATGGAGGTTGCATCACTCCTGAAGGTATCAGCTCTGATTTCTCATACGCTCTTCATAATGTTACAGATGTTGTGTTAACATTTCCGAAGAATGCAATGCAAAGAACGGTTTTAGAAAATCCAATGCTTCGAGGTCTTCAGGTCACTATAGATTCCAGAAACTTCCCCGATCAAGCGATGACCACAGTGGGTGACATATTCTTTACACGTATGCTTCAAGCTTCTGATTTAGATGGAGTGAATGAATGCACGGAAGAATACGAGGACTCATTAACTAGACCACTGAATGCAGATGATGGTGCACCATTAGCTAGAACATGGAAAGACCAAACTTCATTCTTATGCACTATTCCAGTTCAACGTGATGGAGCAGGTATATTCTTTGATGGATTAGAAACTTTCAACTCACAAGTTACAGTACAAGTGAAAGCTTATCCAATCATTCAGGGTGAAAATGACACTTACTGTTCAAAGGTGACAAATCCTCCTCAGGTTTGGTTTACTAGGACTACATATTGGACATGGACACCGGATGAAGGTTTGAAATATCATCCAACAGGTACACCACCGCAGTATAGAAGTTCATATGATGAAATATTGATGAATAGAAATGTTTAAAATTATAAATTTATTTTTGATTAAATGAATTTAAATTCATCCACCCCTTATGAAGAATTAGCGGGAGTATATAATACATACGTAGATGATATGATTAATGAAGCATTGAGTGATAATAGAAATGCTCTATCTAAGGAAAAATTAATGAAAATTCCATATTCTGAATGTTACTTAAATTCAATCACTGCAGCAATTGGTAAACAAAATAAAGGTAAAACATTAACGATATTAAAACAAATTATCATTATTGCTAACACTTCCCCCTATTCACATGTGTTAATTTATATCAACCGTTCAGGTTCACCTTCAGATGATACATTTGAATCTTTAAAGCATTTAATCAAAATTCCAATTATTTATTTATCACAAGAAGAAGCAGAAGATTATTTAAAAAACTTTTTAATGTATAAAGAATTATATAATACAATCAAGAAGCAAGGATTAGAGGATAAAATTATTGATAAACAACGGGATGAATTATTTGAAACACTTTCTATTTCAAATTTTGATAGAGAATTTTTGCATTCACTCATTTTTCTAGATGATGCGGTGAAATCAAAACTAATAACAAATGAGAAATCATATTTTAATCAGTTATTAACTCAATGTCGACACATTCAGTGTTCATTCTTCATGGCTGTTCAATACTTCAAAGCATTAAGCACAAACATTAAATCAAAATCTATCAACACTTTTCATTTTCAGTGGGTTTAGTCGTCAACAGTTGAACGTTATGCTTTATCAAGTGAATTTACCAATGAGCATTAATGAACTTTACACACAATATCAGCAATTAGGTGAACATGGAAAAATAATAGTTGATTTAAATAAAGGAAGTGTTAAATTTGATTAACTTTTTATAATTAATTTTTATTTTTTATTTATAATTAAACATGACAGAAATAGCAAATCTTCTACAGGTTCCATTAAAACAAGGGACAAACAAAAGGGGTGCATATAATAGAACTATGAAAGTTCCTGATGGAATGAATGAATTAGTTCATATTGTTGCTGGTCTTCAAAAAGATGTTAAACAAATGAGAAATGTTTTAACATTACCGGAAGCTCAAGCATATGCCAAACGTCATGGTCCAAATTGGGAAGCACACGAAGCAGACATTACGGGTCCAAATGGAAAACCTGATGGTATAAATGAAGTTTTCGTTACTGATGGTCAAGGTAATATTAAAGTCATAAATGGTTATAAATTAACTGTATCCGATTATCCTAAACGTAAAGCATATAATGAACGTTATCCTATGCAATTTGATGAAAATGGGAAAGCTGTTAAACAATACATTGGAGAAGGTGAAAATGGTCCAATTAATTCATACCGTCATAATCCATATTCTTATTTCAATGAAGAATTAAATGCTATTGAAGAGGGACCGGATGGATTACCACGATATTCAAACCAGTTTGATGGTCAATATGCAAATATGAGACCCGAAATTTCAGCTAAGAAATTCTTTAAAGTTGCTTTATTCGATCCAGTTTTCGCAAATGTTAAAGATGAACTTAAACAGCAATTCCAACCAATTATAGTAGCAAGAATTGCATCGGGTGCTTTATCTCAAGCATTCAAAGATTTAATTAAGAAACCATTATATCAGCAACGAGGTTTAACTTATGATTTAGTTAAGGAATCAGATAAAAGAAAATTTGAGAAATCAGTTGATTATAAGAATGCAATTAATGAATATATTCGGTCTATTAATTTCGATGAAACAGCAAAAAATCAACTTCATGAACAAATACAGGGAATAATAGATTCAAAAGTTCCGGCAAAATAAAAGTTTAAATATATTTTTTTTATTCGATTATAAATGAGAAGACGTTTCACTGGTCAAAAGAACACTAACGCAAAAGCAGAGATTACAGTTGGTTATAACGTAAATGATGATAAATCACGAATTATTCAAAATGTTAAAGTTAATGTTAGCCCTGAATTAACAAGGTCAGCAACTCAACCAAATTTATTAACTCGTGACTTACCGAAGAATGAGGAGAATGAAGAAAACCATGAGAATGGAGACCCAATCATTTTATCTGAACCTGGTAAAGAACCTGTTGAAATTCCCACTTATCCAACATACCCCCACCTCTTTCATCAAACATCGAGAACCATATAAAAAGACATTAATTCTGAATTAATGAAATTTACCGTGATATAATAACTAATAATTATGATTCAATAATAAATTTAATTGACCAATCCGGTTTAATTATTTTACCTTATGAATCATTAATTCACATTATCGCCATTCTTTGTGATGTTCAAGATTCAGACGTTAAGATTCAATTTTTCATAGATGATGAGGTTTCATGCTGCGGAACAGTTGCAAAAATAAATCCTATAAAGGATATTAGCACAATTAAGATATCAAAGAACGGAACAACAACTGAACTTCATTTAACATATAATGATATTTATAATAAAATAGTTGATGAATATAAAATATCACTTGAAAAATTCTTTGTTAAGGCTATTTAATATTCAAGCATTAACATTATCGAATAATAATCCTTTGAATCATAATCAATAATAATTGACCTTTCACCAGTTTCTATCGTTTGTTTTATTTCTTTTTGTTCCCCACTATCCGGATCGGTCATTGTAATTGTTTTTGTTATAGTATCAGCTTTATCTTTAACTTCAATCTTTTTTCCATCGGGATATTTAAACCAAAATTCCAAAAATTCGATATTGTCAATCTGTTCATATTTTAATCTATCAATTACATTTTTAATACCATCTGAAAATCTTATGAAATGGTCATTATATGGGTTTGATTGAACTAAATTTGAATGAATGAAATATAACCCGTTGATGAATATGACATCGACTCATATTTTCTGAAAACACTAAAATTTATAACATGAATGAATTTCTTATTCGTTGAATTTATGAATTCTTGAGGTAATCTTATTCTAGTTTTATTTATCACTGGAAAATAACGCTTTACCATATTTTTAATCGTAATAAAAAAATGTCAATTATTAATATTATTTCGAATAATAGTTGTGAATTAAATTTAACAGTTAGTGGAATTTATAATGTTACTCTCGTTTCTGTGAGTGGTAAATTTAATCCCATTCTTTTAGACCCTTCAGATTATATATCATTTATTAAAGATGACCATGAAAAAACGTATGATATGTATATAAATAACGTGATAGCGAAATGGGATATTAACACGATTTTAAGTTATTTAAATGAATCATTTATCGTATGGTATGAAGAAAATTTTAAATCAAAACCTGATAAACTTTTTGAACTTGATGAAATAAATAACCTTATTAAATTTCCGCTGAAAATTAAATTTTGTACTCCTCATCTTCGTTCATTGTTGGGAATATTAAATTTTGAAAAAGATGTTGGGGATGTTTTGTATTCTGACACTGGTTCCAATTTCATTTTAATCAAATGTGATAAAGTTAATACCCCAATGAGATTTTCACATCAAACATTAGACCCTAACTCTTACCCATCAATACAAAACATTTTATCCATCAACTTAAACACATTTTCTTTATCATATCCGTTTCAATTATCCGGGAATTCATTTATTCTTCATTCAAAAGATTTATCAAATATTAAATTTAGAATAACTGACCTATTTGATTGTGATTTAGAATTTATGAATGAAATATTATGGCAATTTCAAATAGAAAAAATAGCTGATGAGATAACGGATTAAATATTTATTTTTAAATTGTAATAAATGATTAAACAACAGCAACCACAACAACTTAAGGCACAAAGCACCCAAGTCCTTCAACCATTACATACGCCACATATGCATATAATTCAAAGACGGCAGAACAAACGCAAAGGTTGAAATATGGAGATTTGGAGATAGTATTGAAAAATGACCGTTTCGAATTCGTTTGCAAAGGTGGTGCGGTGATATCAAATATAAAAGAAATTTTATTTATGAATTCAAAAATTAAAGGAATAACGGATGATATAACATCAATTCCGCCAGAAGAACAAAGATATTACGCATTAAATGCATTTCCTAAAGTTTTGAAGATTGGAAGATTTAATTTAAATGAGAAATTCATAGAAGGTTTCCTAAATGACATAATGAAGAAAGCAGATAAGGAATATGTTAACGATGAGTTAAATAAGAAGGCAAATTTGGTTTATGTTGATGAAAAAGATAATGAAATTAAAAAAAAGGTTGAATGGTATCATGAATGGACATTGGAGACTTTTAAAGTTAAAGCTGATACAGGATGGGTTTCAGGATGTTTAGACCTTAAAGCTGATAAAACTTATGTTAACGATGAGTTAGAGAAGAAAGCGGATAAAACTTATGTGGATAATGAGTTAAATAAGAAGGCAAATTTGGTTTATGTTGATGAAAAAGATAATGAAATTAAAGAAAAGGTTGAATGGTATCATGAATGGACATTGGAGACTTTTAAAGTTAAAGCTGATACAGGATGGGTTTCAGGATGTTTAGACCTTAAAGCTGATAAAACTTATGTTAACGATGAGTTAGAGAAGAAAGCGGATAAAACTTATGTGGATAATGAGTTAAATAAGAAGGCAAATTTGGTTTATGTTGATGAAAAAGATAATGAAATTAAAGAAAAGGTTGAATGGTATCATGAATGGACATTGGAGACTTTTAAAGTTAAAGCTGATACAGGATGGGTTTCAGGATGTTTAGACCTTAAAGCTGATAAAACTTATGTTAACGATGAGTTAGAGAAGAAAGCGGATAAAACTTATGTGGATAATGAGTTAAATAAGAAAGCGGATAAAGAACATACACATAACTTCTTCTCAACTGTTGCTATAGAAAGTATTGAAGGAATGGCTGAGGGAAGTGGTGGGGATGCATTATATTATAAACCTCCTAACTTTCCACAAGGTTTAACATCGGATGAAAACATAACAACGAATAAAAAAATTAGGTGTAAAAATGTTTATATCATGAAGGATGAAAATAATGTTAAATTCACTGTTCAAGATTTATATGATAAGAAAGCGGATAAAACTTATGTTAATGAAATATACCAAAGTTTGAAAGGAACAACAAAAAATATTGAAACTATTGTTGGCGACTTTTCTGTCAATAAAGAAAATAAATATTTTAGATGGCAGTTTGTACAGTCCTTAAAAAATGGTATACGGTGTAAACTCATTCCGAAAAATAACAATGAAATGTATGTAAGCTATAAAAAGAATGATGACACACAAGTTAAAGTTCCATTAGACAACAACTGCTACTTAAACTTATATGGAGATGAACAAAAGAAATATTTTAGAGTTTATGAAATGGCAGATATGACATTGCCTGACCCAGCTCCAGCACCATATTATTATGACTATGGAGATGACGACAGAACACCACATGTAGATGAACAAAAGCTAACATTATATTTAGATTATTATAGATATAAAAGATATAATGCAATAGAAAAAACGAGAATAGTATATTATTATACAGATGATAGAAATAAATATTATAGTCAAGATTTTACCTACCCTGAAAACATAAGATTATATTATAAAAAATATTCTGACACAAACCAGAAGAAACCTGAAATAGTTGCACTATATTTTAAGTTCAAAAGAGACAATCCTATAATATATCTCATATGTTTGATTTAATGAACCCAGTAGGTTCTATTTATACATCAATGGATGCAAGAGGTCCTCAAGTAATGTTTGGTGTTGTTGCATGGGAACAAATAGTCGACAGGTTTTTGTATTGTGCAAACTCTTCAAAGGAAACAGGTGGTTCGAAGAAAATTAAAGAAGCAAACCTTCCACCACACACTCATACAGGAACTACAAACTTTTCTGGCGACCATAGACACTCATTAAGAGATCACCCATTATACAACTCAGACTATGAAGTTGGCAATGACGTTTTATCTCCATTTTATAACATTGCAGCAAAAAAGAATTTTCGACAAACTGAACCGGGAGGAAATCATTCACATACTTTCACAACAAATCCAACAGGCTCGGGTGAAGATTATATGCCACCATTTATGACTGTATTCGCATGGTATAGAGTTCATTGAATGAATAAAATATATTTTATGTCTGTAATTAATTAGGTAATGAAGTAATGGATGAACTGCAGAAATATATGTTATCGTCAATGGTTTCGGTTATGGTTTCGGTTATTCAATAATTATTTATTGAGTTTTGGATGAAAGAATACGGTCGAGCCAAAAGTGGCTCAACCTCAAAACGAGCATTTTATGAGCCTATTAATGGTGTTATGAATGAATTCAGCACAAAAATAATGAATTTCATTAGTTTTAAAATTATTTTTATTTTTTATTTTGTATGTAAAGACAATAATGTCAGTCGAAGCAAAAACATTCACGAACAAATCTAATGGCGAAACATTCACAAAAGGCACTTATAATGGTATTGAAGTCTTACGTAGAGACAAGGATGGTTACATTAATGCAACAAAGATGTGTCAGCAGTTTAGGAAAGACTTTAGAAAGTTGTTGGAAAATAAGTCCTGGGAAGAGTATTATAAGGCATTTTGTGAAGAATATAGCAACAGTCCGAATTCCGGCGGTTGGTTTTTATACAAAATTCATGCAGGAATTTCTGATGAAATCAAACAGGTTAGAGGAACGTATGTAGACCCAAGACTTATAAACTATATAACAATGTGGGCTTCTCCAAAATATTGCATAGCAGTTGGAAAAATTATGGACTCCATAGACAAGAAAGTTCATGAGAAATTAGATGAAGAAGAACTCGAAGATACAGTGGAGAATGCTAAACCTTTGTTCGAACAAGAAGTTAGAAAAATGTGCGAAAAACAATTAGAACATGAACGTGAGATGTGTTATGGTTATAGAGATTCCCCATACGAACTAGACCAATGGGAACAAGAAGATTTAAAGAGAGAATTTAGAGAATATGAACTCGCAAAGATAGCATTTGAAGCTGCAGAAAAGAAGTTAAAAGTTTGGGGGCTGTTTGTACAAAAATATTGTGAGTAAATGAACCATTTATTTTTATCATAAACGACCAAAAATAAATGTTATCGTTATGGTTTCGTTAATGGTTTCGGTTATTCAATAATTATTTATTTTTGAAGAACTGATGAGGTCACCGGGTCACCAGGTCACCAGGTAATTTAACTTCTCTGAAAAAATGAGACAACATGACATTTTGACAACAACAGTGGAGAAAGGCACTTATTATTTATTTTTGAAGAACTGATGAGGTCACCGGGTCACCAGGTCACCAGGTAATTTAACTTCTCTGAAAAAATGAGACAACATGACATTTTGACAACAACAGTGGAGAAAGGCACTTATTATTTATTTTTGAAGAACTGATGAGGTCACCGGGTCACCAGGTCACCAGGTAATTTAACTTCTCTGAAAAAATGAGACAACATGACATTTTGACAACAACAGTGACGGAAATATGATGTTATCGTTATGGTTTCGTTAATGGTTTCGGTTATTCAATAATTATTTATTTTTGAAGAACTGATGAGGTCACCGGGTCACCAGGTCACCAGGTAATTTAACTTCTCTGAAAAAATGAGACAACATGACATTTTGACAACAACAGTGACGGAAATATGATGTTATCGTTATGGTTTCGTTAATGGTTTCGGTTATTCAATAATTATTTATTTTTGAAGAACTGATGAGGTCACCGGGTCACCAGGTCACCAGGTAATTTAACTTCTCTGAAAAAATGAGACAACATGACATTTTGACAACAACAGTGACGGAAATATGATGTTATCGTTATGGTTTCGTTAATGGTTTCGGTTATTCAATAATTATTTATTTTTGAAGAACTGATGAGGTCACCGGGTCACCAGGTCACCAGGTAATTTAACTTCTCTGAAAAAATGAGACAACATGACATTTTGACAACAACAGTGACGGAAATATGATGTTATCGTTATGGTTTCGTTAATGGTTTCGGTTATTCAATAATTATTTATTTTTGAAGAACTGATGAGGTCACCGGGTCACCAGGTCACCAGGTAATTTAACTTCTCTGAAAAAATGAGACAACATGACATTTTGACAACACAGCAGGATTAATGTAAAAATAAATTCAAATCATACTTTATAAAGCTTCATTTACAGGTATTTCATCGTCAGTAAATGAATCCTCATTATCGTTTGGTTCAACCTGTTTATATAATCCTTTCATTTCTTCTTTCAAAACATAATACCATGTCTGTTTACCATCTATTTTTCTTTGTTTCCTATCACATTTATCCTTAATACTCATTTGGAAATTCTTGTCTTTCATGTCTGATGGTTTGCAGAATAGAGCATTTTTACATGTCATACCCGCACACAATTCATCATAATGTGTATTTATCCATACATCTAAAGGATTTGTTGATAATTCAATTAAATCTTGTTTGGCTTCAGTCATTGGTATGATTCGTACATTAAATGATGAAAGGTCATATTGCATAAAATATGTTAAAAGGTTATCATAAAATTCCTTTGTGCATGAATCCATCAAATTCTTGAAGTAATCAAATTGACCCTTAAATTTACCATTAACCCTTAAAACTACATATCTTCTGTCTCCAACTTCAATTTTGACAGGATAAACATTGTTAGTTACGAAAATGAAGTTTGCAACATTCTGTGCAGTTCTTCTGGGTTGATTCTTTTCATTAATTCTAATCTCATTATCCGTTATAATTGATTTCAAAGCGTTGAAGTTTGCGAGTCTGTCTTCACCAACATTCTTGAGTTCATTAAGTACAAGAAGCATTTTATTTTCAACTACTGAATTGAAATTACCCGTTATTTTGGGACTGCATCATATTTCCGTCACTGTTGTTGTCAAAATGTCATGTTGTCTCATTTTTTCAGAGAAGTTAAATTACCTGGTGACCTGGTGACCCGGTGACCTCATCAGTTCTTCAAAAATAAATAATAAGTGCCTTTCTCCACTGTTGTTGTCAAAATGTCATGTTGTCTCATTTTTTCAGAGAAGTTAAATTACCTGGTGACCTGGTGACCCGGTGACCTCATCAGTTCTTCAAAAATAAATAATAAGTGCCTTTCTCCACTGTTGTTGTCAAAATGTCATGTTGTCTCATTTTTTCAGAGAAGTTAAATTACCTGGTGACCTGGTGACCCGGTGACCTCATCAGTTCTTCAAAAATAAATAATTATTGAATAACCGAAACCATTAACGAAACCATAACGATAACATCATATTTCCGTCACTGTTGTTGTCAAAATGTCATGTTGTCTCATTTTTTCAGAGAAGTTAAATTACCTGGTGACCTGGTGACCCGGTGACCTCATCAGTTCTTCAAAAATAAATAATTATTGAATAACCGAAACCATTAACGAAACCATAACGATAACATCATATTTCCGTCACTGTTGTTGTCAAAATGTCATGTTGTCTCATTTTTTCAGAGAAGTTAAATTACCTGGTGACCTGGTGACCCGGTGACCTCATCAGTTCTTCAAAAATAAATAATTATTGAATAACCGAAACCATTGACGAAACCATAACGATAACATCATATTTCCGTCACTGTTGTTGTCAAAATGTCATGTTGTCTCATTTTTTCAGAGAAGTTAAATTACCTGGTGACCTGGTGACCCGGTGACCTCATCAGTTCTTCAAAAATAAATAATTATTGAATAACCGAAACCATTAACGAAACCATAACGATAACATCATATTTCCGTCACTGTTGTTGTCAAAATGTCATGTTGTCTCATTTTTTCAGAGAAGTTAAATTACCTGGTGACCTGGTGACCCGGTGACCTCATCAGTTCTTCAAAAATAAATAATTATTGAATAACCGAAACCATTAACGAAACCATAACGATAACATCATATTTCCGTCACTGTTGTTGTCAAAATGTCATGTTGTCTCATTTTTTCAGAGAAGTTAAATTACCTGGTGACCTGGTGACCCGGTGACCTCATCAGTTCTTCAAAAATAAATAATTATTGAATAACCGAAACCATTGACGAAACCATAACGATAACATCATATTTCCGTCACTGTTGTTGTCAAAATGTCATGTTGTCTCATTTTTTCAGAGAAGTTAAATTACCTGGTGACCTGGTGACCCGGTGACCTCATCAGTTCTTCAAAAATAAATAATTATTGAATAACCGAAACCATTGACGAAACCATAACGATAACATCATATTTCCGTCACTGTTGTTGTCAAAATGTCATGTTGTCTCATTTTTTCAGAGAAGTTAAATTACCTGGTGACCTGGTGACCCGGTGACCTCATCAGTTCTTCAAAAATAAATAATTATTGAATAACCGAAACCATTAACGAAACCATAACGATAACAAAATTTTATTTTTATATAAATGAATGCCCCACAAGCTCAAAATTTACCACGAATCATAACAAGGGAGGAAATGATAAAAATGATGCAAAAACTAATTAAAAACGACAACAAACCACAAAAACCGAGAAGATGTGGTTATGCAGTAATGATGGAAAGAAGAACCCAGAAGGGTTCGGGAAACCATTGACGGAAGAGGAATAAAAATTAAATTTGGATTGAGTTTAAAAATTCATCTTTATTAAATTCATTTCTTCCAATCAATTTATTTATTCTATTAAATTCTTTTATTTTTGCTTCACTCAGTTTAAGGATTGAACGGTAAGTTTCTAATTTTTCGATTATTTCTTTCCTCTCTTTATCGTTTTCAACCCCATCACATTGCGGCTTCTTTTTGTAATAGCATATTTTTGATTTAATTTTGTTTAGTTTCTTTTTATATTCATCGTCTGGACTCTTGGATGCTTCGTTGTCACTCATTTCTTACTGAAATAAAAAAATTAAATATTATTTAAATATAATGGAGTAATAAAATAAATCAGAATTTCTATTAATTTATTGTTAACCTCAACTAATGCATTACCGTTAATATATCTAACAAATTCAGCTATTGTGTCAAATCTTCGTCTTCTTTTTGTCATTGATTTATCAGTTTTTCCATAATCGAGATGAATCAAAACTTTATCCCCTTGTTTAAAATTCATGAGCCCCGAATTAATTTGTTCACGTTTAACATCATTTAACCTTTCCATTTGCTTTCTAATATATTCCCATTCTTTTGAAATATCATTTTTCATTTCCACTGGTTTCATGTTTATAGTTCTATGCCATGTATTATTGTAATAATATACTAACTGTTGTATGATGGAGTCATGATTTCCATCCCAGTATATCTGACCGTTAACCCCTAACGCATCTCTAAGAGTTCTCATTACCGCATCAACTATTTTATTATGAAACGTATATGGAGAGGATGAAAAGTAAAAATTAATTTGTGGGAAATAATGAGCCATAGCTGCCTGAAATCCTTTATCACCATCACCCCTTATATTATCTACTCTTTCATGATCTAGTAAGTATTGTATAGCTCTTCTTGTTTCCTGTTCTGTTTTCCCTTTCACTGGAATGCAATATAAATATCTAGTGTTAATGTTAATGGCGAATAAATAAGTAACGTTTCCTTTTGAATATTCCATATGATCGATTTCGTATGAATATGGATATGGTGCAAATGAGGGGCGACCAAATTTTTCCTTTAACGGTTGAATTTTTGGGTCAATTGGTTTATTTAATATCTTGAAATCCTTTTTAAAATCTTTTTGCTTCTTTAATGTTTGAAATGGATATAATAAAGTGAATGATGAAGGATTAACTGAAGGAGGAGGAGGTACTGTCGTTGGAGGTTTAATTTTATCTGCTTTGATTTTGGATGATGAAGTTTTGGATTTCATTCCTCCTTTCATTAATTCTGGATGTATTCTATTCATTTGTTTTAAATATACTGTATATAAAGGTTTGATATACTTTCCCGCTTCGAGTTTATGTTGAAGGATAAATTCCAAAAGTTGATCTTCATTTAAAAGTCGGACTGAATATGGTTTAACTAATGAATCATAAATTAAAGCTTGTGCATCATTTATGGTTTGAAGGACCCGGGCGTTTTGTTCCTTTTGTTTTTGCGGCTCAGGATTATATAATTTATATAATTCATCAATATCTTCTTCTGTTAATACTTTATTTTTGAAATCTTTCAATTGTTTAAGTTGTGATTTAGTTTTTCCCTTTATATATTCATTATTTTTGATTTTGTCTTTAATTTTAGAAATTATTCTATCATGATATTTCAAAATTTCATTTTTATAATACGGATAATAATAATCCATATCATCACCCGTTATATGTGGATCATGTTTTTGGAGATATGCTTTTAATTCATAATAATTAAGAAAATTTTGATTAAGTACTAAATCATCAATTAAAATTTTTAAATCTACATTATTCATTTATATAAAAATAAAATAAATGTTTAAGGGTGCCCACCTCTTTGATCAAGAATCAAAACCATTATTTACAGTTCCTTTTGTCTCTTCTGTGGCATTTTATTTTTAATAAAATTTTAAATTGTATTAAATAAATGGCATACAACATCCATTTTCACAACATACAGCCTTAGTGTGTGCTCCTGTTAATGCAGTTTTACCGATTGTTAAGCGAGTCATTGACCCGTTTTTAAGTTGTAAATTAATATTTTGACCATCAAATATCACTTTATCATTTATTATATCCAAATAATTTTTAGGTGTTAATTGTTTATTTTGTCGTAAACTAACACCTTTCATTTTTTGTGCAATCTTTTTAAAATCACTTCCATCAATTGAACCGTTGAATGATGTATAACACTTAGGGCATAAAGCAACCATGTTATCGCCTTGTTTCTCAATTGCTAAACCCAATAACTTCTTCTCATGTGCTTTTTCTTCAGCTTTATTCTTTAATATAGGTTTAAATTTCTCATCAAAACAGAAGAAATCAAATGGTGCGAATTTGAAAATGTTTTTATCATAAAATTGTTTATCGGTTACAATTGCTTGAAATGCTTGAGTGTTAGGAAGACTTGGATCGCCAGCGATTGCCCAATAAGATGAATCAGTATCACCTTCAATGAAATGAAAACGATTAACATCCATGCATTTATACATAAAATCATAAATGAAAACTAAATACCAGTATTTTGCGTTATCTAAAGTAAAAAATGCCTCTTGTAAACATGTTTCACATCTATAAAATCTATCTTTAAGCATCAGTTGATACGTATCCTCTCATATTTCTCTTATGTTTTTAAACTTATTTGACATACATGCAACGCGTGCCTTCTGTGCATTCATTATTTTAGTCTTTGCGTAATTTTGTGTATTCATTGCATCGTAACCATATGATCCATTAAGTGAAATCTTGCAAAATAAACTTTTTCCTTTATTTCCTTTTAATTCAGCCTTTTGTCTTTCGTTCATAAATTTGTTCGCAAATTCATTAAAGCAAGTGTTTTTCGTAAATGTTAAAATTGATTGAATGTCATCGATGATAAAATGAAATCTGTCGATTAGATACCATAGATAATAAGAAGAAAATGGTTGATATTGGTTGTGTGTTGATGCTAACTGAGTTAATTTTCTTTGTTTCTGGTCAACCGGTAGATTGTTTGATTTCATGTAATTATACATAAAACTACCAATTGTTTTTTCATCTGTGATAATATCTAAGTTTCTTATTATCGGTAAAAAGTTTATGTAATCATTAATGTATTTTTCATCAATGTGACCCTTTACTTCAGCCACGAATAAAGTATTTTTCTTCTTAATTATTCCCAGTGCTTTTGCTTTCTTTGTTGCTGTATCACAAATGATAACACCATTCAATCTTCCCGGCATATACATTTTATGGTCAGTATATTGAATGAAATCATGAGGATTAGATGAAAATGATGAAGGATATAATGAATTAAAATCAACACCAACGAAATGAGTCATAATGTTGGTGGTGTCCTCATTTGATACAGTTTTAGTTTCTGGATTATATGAAAGTTTATTAATGTGTGTGACTCCTTTAAGATTAACACGATGTTGAACATTTGATAGACCACCACTAATTCCATTACGGAGAATGTGATAAGCTTCAACCGAATCTAAAGTCATTGGTAAATTATTTTTTAATGCATAATTTCTTAAATTGATTCTTAAACGTTGAACATCTTCATCTTTATTTGATTTTACGACATTGCAATAACAACACATTAACTGACAATTTCCTTTAGTATGTGGTTTTTCATTATCGATTCTATCCAATGTTGGTTTATTTGCATATGTAAACGCTTTACCACACATTTTGCATTTAGATGAAAGGATTAAATCATGATAGTATTGAAAATCATCCATTGAAACATTATTTTTAGTATCTCTTTCTGCTTTTTCATCTTGTTTCTTATATGATTCAATTTTATATTTCCAATACTTTTTCGTTAATTCAAAACTTGATTCTATCTCTTCCTCAGGATATTTTTCATTAGGATTAAAGTCTTTATATGCTAAAGCGTAACGAATCATTGAAGCATTCGATGATAAAGAAACATTATGAAGCATGTCAATTTTATAAACAAATGTTTCTTCAATAATTTTATCGATTGGGTCAATCATAATTTCAACATCTTTATTGCAATAATGAATAAAATATTCTAATCTATTCTTAAAATTTTTAGCATCATTGAGATATATTTGATAATCACTATCTGATATAGTTTCTTGAGTTAATGCTGAATAAAATGAATCTTTCGTGAATGGTTCCTCTTTATATAATTCTTCTTCGTAATTTTCCCACGTGATGAATTGATAAGGGAAAAAGGATTTAACACGTGATTTATTGTTTCCGAAATCTTGAGTGAATTGGTCTAATGTCCCACCCGCTATATAATTTCTGATGTCAATAAATCTTAATTCATATGGAACGTTTGTTTTCTTTACAATGATTTGCTTAAATTGTGAAGATGAACCCAGCATTGATTTTATTTTCCATTTTGCAGTGTTTAAATCACGAAGAATTAAATTTAATTCAAACTTTCCCGAATTAAAACCTATGATATTCACTTTATTGAATTCCTCATCTAGAAGTTCTTTAAATGCTTCCTTCTGTTTTTCATTTATTGTTTGCGACTTCAATAATTCTTCATATTGTTCAATATTTGATTTAGCAACTAATGAACAGGTTGAAAATAAAAACTCAATCCAATCAGAAATAAAAGAATCATTCGAAGTTAAACAAAAATTCCTCGTATATGTTTTTTCATTTAATTTAACCGTTGATGATACCATGAATGGTTTTAAGTAAGCGTTCAAAGTTGCACACTCAGAAAGTTGTAATTCTTCTTTAGTCTCTAATGTTTCAAAGTCAAAAGTAATATAATATCTTGTCGGTTGATAATATTCCTGCAAATTGTGAGCTAATAACCACTGATATATCTTTTGTTTCGTAATATGTGGTGCATATGGTTGCTGGGTCTTTTGCAACTGAACGTCTTGAATTAATCTCCCATTATTTTCTTTACATTTCTCACAATGCTTTAAAAATCTTCTTTGGTTTTTCCTTTCTGGATCATCACGGATAGAATAAACTTCTTCTTTACAATATGGACAAACTTTATAGCCGGTGAGTGCTTCAACGTCTGTTATTCTGTCAGCGTGAAGTTTTCCACATGGACTCTGTGTTAATAAAATATTTACTGTTTCAAATTCTGGATCTATCATTATTGTTTCCACTAATGGAAAGTCTACCTTATTTATGTCCACGTCTTCTGGTTGAGGATCGCAATAATAGAAATCAATATTAACATTTAACATTCTCGCTAATCTCTCACTTTCTGATGAAATGTCAAACCCATCATATGCATCTATTGCTTCATTTAAATAGCTCCTACGAGTTTTAGGATTAACACCATCAGGAATGTTATAGAAGCGTTTAAATAACCTTCTACCTTCTGCTCTAATTTGATTATCATTCATTTTAGCTGTTCCGTTTTTGTTCATTTATGTAAGAATAAAAAATTAAAAAAATAAACTTTATTTTTCAAAGCCCATAAAATGAATTAAGAACACATAAATTTTTATCATCTGCGACGTGACGAATACATTTTAATTTACTCAAGAATGTGTACCCTGATACATTAAATCTAATTCCTGTCTTATTTAATTTCACAACTTTGAAAAGGAATGTATGAATAGCTATAAAATGATGAGAAGATGTTTTATGGGTTGCTTCCATTTTTTCTGAAATAAATGAATAAATATAATGCTTATATGTTTTCATATCTTTTATGTTCTTAATAACGAATGGTATAGACCTTTCCACTTCATCTTCCTTCGGTGCTGTTCTTTCATATGAAACATTATTGGTATCTTCAACAATGAAACCACAATCACACAAAATTTTATAGGTTCCAATGGTTTCTTTTGATATTTTATCTAATAAATCAAAAACTTTATCAACACCTGTGCATTTATTTAAATAATAATTTGTGTAAATATCATGATCTTCTTTCTTAATCGTATTAGTTGCATATGTCACGTTTTTAAGAGCTTTTTTGAATTTTTCGGAATCGAGAGGGGGTGAAAGTAAGATACAAGGGTATTCTTCATTATCAATAAATTGTAACTTATGTTTACGAATAAATTTAGTACCTTCTTCTGAAAGTGTTTCGTCTATTTCACCATCTAATAAATTTTGTGTTGATTCTGAGACATAATTTTTATATCTTTCTTCATGTGATTTCTGAACTTCTGATTCTGAAGCTGGGATATTCATTAAACCCTCTACTTCATTTTCATTATATTTTTCAACTTCTCTTAATTCCTTAATTTTTTCATCTATTTCATCTCTTATTTTTTCCAATCTTTCAATTTCAATTTCATCATATTCATCATCATCTTTTATCCGTTCTTCATAATATTCAGGGAAAACATCAGGTTCTTTTGGTTTTTCTTCTTTTTCAGATGTGGGATATAAGAAATTTATAACATCATCTTTATTCATTTTTCCATCATAATCAAATTCATTTAAGAACTCGGCAAATTTTTGACAATTTCTTAAATAATATTTATCAACTTCATAACCCGCCTCCTCTAATATATCCTTTATTTCCTCGTTTGTGAATCCTAATTTTTTAACATCGTTAGTTTTGACACTCATTTCAAACAAAATAAAAATAAAATATTCAAAATTGTAAGACATAAATGTTTAAAGTTTATTTTTCATTCATGAAAATAATTATTTCTAATTTCTTTTACTCTCTCGTATATACTAGATTTAAAGAATTCAGGATTTAAACAATGTTTAATTAATTGCGGAATATCTGACATCATCTATATATAGCTTCTTTTGTAAAAGATAAAAAATAAATTATTTTAAAATGGCGTGTGGGCAATTTTAACGACATTTTTAACGCGATACGAGCGTAAGTCCATAGAATGTGTTTTGAGGGAAACTATAAAAATCCAAAATAGAGGTAAGTGCGCCATTATTACCTGCGAAGTTACATGGAATAAATCGAAGAGTAAGTACAAGATGATCTTGCATCTTTCCAAGTAAATGAAATTTATTAAAATTAAGATGATAATATTCATTTATAGTATGTGTATGATGTGTTTTCAAAATTTCTTCAAATAAAATGCAATGATAATTTTTGAATAATTTTTTCTTGTGTATATTTCATTTTTTATTAGTGAAAATATCATTACATCAATAAGGAAAGCACAATCCAAATTCATATTAGTTAAATTAATCTACGACCAAAAGCCCGCCAAATTTGAATTAAACACGTTTTTTGATAAAAGTGTCATTTATGATTGTTGCATTTAGGGATAGTAGCCAATTTCGGTACCAATCTTGAAAATGCCTCGCCATGCCCGCAACATGGAAGAGAAGTATTGGTTTGATATTGAACTATCAATCAATGCAAACTGAATCACCTTGTCATGTTGCTCCACAGATACAGCAGTCTGAGTCCCTCGCTTGGTCATGTTGCTCCACAGATACAGCAGTCTGAGTCCCTCGCTTGGTCATGTTGCTCCACAGATACAGCAGTCTGAGTCCCTCGCTTGGTCATGTTGCTCCACAGATACAGCAGTCTGAGTCCCTCGCTTGGTCATGTTGCTCC